GTAAAAGATAGCTTTTAAAAAGAGGCGAAATATAGATGAATACAAATTAGAATAAGTGGGTGGAGGAATTCCGGAAAAAATCCGACAGACGTATGAAAGTAAAAATGGGGGGACCCCAGGTCATCTAATGACCTTAGAGGGCGTTCTTTGGCTGCGGCAGAAGCGCAAAATACTGTTTTATGGCTCCTCAACTTATTCTATTAACAGACTGCCTCTGGCGACAACATGTTGCCGGAAACTCAAAAAGCCCTAAGCAGGATGTGCCAGAATAAGGAATTACTCAAAGATTTGAGGATATGGGTGGTTGAGCTGACATTCGTGAGTCGTAATACTTATGATATCTCAAGCAATGCGTGCAGGATACCACTGCAGCCAAATAATAAAGTAAAATGCAAGCAGAATGCCATTTGCGAAAGGTATATACAAGAAAAACGGGATCTGAATTGGTAACGCATACATATATCGAATAGGCGACAGATGCTGAGTGCAAGATGCTGCTCAGAAGAAAAAGGCTATATCAAATGAATAATATCACTAATAGTGGATTCCCACACTGACTACTGTCCGGGCGATCCTAACTATCTTGCTAAAAACAGGCATCGATCCTGATAATCTTGCTATGAACACGCATTTGATCCCAAGACTGGTGCTTTTTTCGCCACTATTGTAAGAATTTTTCTCCCCTAAAGAGAGTGGTGAAAAGCGCTGTTACCTTTACAGAGCTTCGGAGAAGTTCAAGAAAAGTTAACTTTAAGGGGGAACCGTAAAGTGAAAAAAAAAAAATGTAAAATCAATGCAACAAAAAATACAAGAGGCGAAAGAATCTATAATTAAATAACGTGAAAAGGTGAAGGATAATGAGGGAAGAAGTGAGCGAAAATGAAGGATAACAGAAAGACCAGAAGTCACCTTTCCGCCGTGCTTTTTGTCTGAATCTGACAGAAGAAAGTGAGAATTAAGCAAAAACTCTTCGTATTCACTTTCGTCACAGATCCAGAATTCCGAAAAATCTCACCACACTATCAGTGTCTGGAACCCGTGCACTGCCCTGATCCTCAGTTT